TTCGGCTTCAGGGGGGGGGACGAAACCGGGACCCAGTTTCCCGGGTCAATGCTTATGTGTGCATTAGTATTCATATGTTTTGTGATAGTTCTGCCTATGTTTAGGTTTTGATTCTGATCTATGTTCAAAATAGAACTTATGATTATAATTGTAGGAATTTTTCTGCAGATATATGCATAGCTATGTAAATAATCCTGTTTTGGATACCGATATACTTTTAATTAAATGGACTCCATGTGGGGCTCCATCAGTCTTTGTGGCACATAAAATGTTTTTGGGTGGGCCACTGTTTTGGGTGGGCCACTGCTCTAGCGACACGACATGCGCATACCGGGAGGTACGGCAATGAATCTACATGGAACCCGACTTGCACGTGGCAACTTGTATTGAACTTTGGCTTCAGTGATTTCGTGCTTCCCAGAGATCATCTCGGCTTCCTCCAGGCGTCAGGAAAGGGTCGAGCACAAAAGAACATAGCAGCACTGAAAGCGAGGGAACAAACACAACTCATCTGAAAACCAACTCCAGCCTGGTCGGCACCATGTTGCAGGAGGTCCTGTCCAAGGGCCGGAGGCATCCACGCCAAATGCCAGCTCAGTGCATCTGAAGCTGTTCACCGTCGAATCAGCTGGGAGACCGGGCATTGCGTGCGGAGTTGGCTCTGCCCTCGGCATCGCTGCCTCGTGTTCTGCACGAGAGCGTAGCTCAGCAGTAGCTCAACAGTTGAGACATCTCCGCGGCCTGGCTTGGATGCCTGCAACGCCTGGAGGGACCGCTGCAACTGCTGCTTGTCACGCTCTGCCTGGCGCACAGGCGAGCTAAAACAAACACCACCGCAGGCTACTGCAGCTCGTGTGTGACAGCATATCCTGTTTTGTCCCACGGCGGCGGTTGAAAGTCACTCAAATGCCTGACTTCAAGTCAGCACCCAGTGATATCCCGTGGCTCTCAGAGCTCGTTCCCATTGTGCCGGAAAACGCCAACGTGGAGAATGAAGGCTGGCTCAGTTGAACTCGAATTCGCTTACGGCCAGACTTTCCGGTGAATTGGCTTCAGTATTAATCTTCCGTCCCGGCTGGTATCCAGCCTGAGTTCATTCGGGGATCTGCTTCCTGGCTAGAACAGCACAGCACAAAACAACTTTCTACGTTCGACTGTTTCCAGACTCAGTTGACGCAACCCCATGTTGTGTGGCTAGGGGAACACAACCAGACATGTCAATGCTCAAATGTAGGCTTGGGTTCGTTGCAGAATGTCAAAGAAAATGATTGCGTGATGGATGAAATGTCCTAAGGCGTTGGGCATTAACGTAAGACAAGGCTCGGATTGGAGTTTCGGTGGAATATGGAAGGACCTCTCGTACCCCCAAACGGATGAAAAATACATTTGAATGTTGAGGCAGCGGGTGAAGCTGCAGCGACTAGGGCCACCTCGCCGGGTTCCGACCACTCTCGAAGACACAGTTACAAAAAATCGTGTCAACTGAGCCGGGCAGAGCAGCAGACATCTTGCAAGCGTATAAGTGTATAGACTGTATGGAGGGTGAAGATAGAAAGCGTGGAGAATCTTTTTGGCAAGCGCGGAATGCTTTGCCCTCACATCTCGAATCGAACAACGTCGACACCTCGGAGGCGGAGGTCTCCCTCCTCGTGGCGCGATGCGCGAGGAGGGCGGGTCAAGCGCAGCCTCCCAGGGTCTGTGTCTCAACATTGGTTCTTTGCCCTTGCAGTGACCTGCTGAGCCGAGCCCGCAGACGGGACTGCAATGATTGGAACCATGAACCACCAAAAGTGCGCAGCAGGACCCGCACCCGGCCGTCGTTTAGGGCGCAGCTCGCCACTAGGACTCTGGCACCGGAGTCGAAAGAGCCAGAGACTTATGGCCTCAGGTAACCCGGTGGCGGCAGAACGAACGGGCCTTCGACATCGCAACGGCAGGCACAGCTTGGTCAAGAGTCCGCGGTCATCATGGTGACGGCCACGGCCCAGGTGACGAAACGACACGACTCCGATGTCGTTAGGGACACAGATGGACTCACGGAAGGAGCGGGACACGGCCCCGGCCATGACAGAGAGGCGACGCATATGCGGCAAGACGAATGAAGCTGGAAAGTCTCGAGCGCCGCAGCTTTACGCACGGCCGTCGCTTGTACATGCAACCGCGCGTCACATTTTGCACTACACTACACGATCAGACCGCAACCACACAAACTGCAAAACTTTTTAGAAAGGTTCGACACAGCGTAGCTGCTATGTTCAAGTTGCCTGTATTCTGTGTCGCATCTCTTGAGCCTAGCAGCAGCACCGGCGACGACAAACAGCGGCATTAAATGCTCAGCAGCGCCCAGCGGCTGCGCATCCCGGGCCGATGGAGCCGAAGCCCAGTCAGAGAGGCGGGCAATGCGCTCCTCCAGGAAATGGATTGCCAATCATTCTCACATTTGAGTCACCCTCACCCCCTTCCCGCTCTACACCATCGCTTCCTCGCAAGGCTTCCCCATCGTCAATCCTTCCTATCTAGCTATTGATATAAGACGTTGTGCATCGCATGCTGTCGGCCTCCGAGGTCAGTGCTTCTGAGGTCACCGCTTCCGTCAGCCAGCGATCAAACTTCTGCGAGTGGCTTACACCCGCGAGTCGCTTTGCAGGATCTCTTGCCTGACGAAACACAGCTGGAGCTGACCGGGACCTTGCACAGAAGCTACGAAGCAGGGGAGACACTGCTGGGACGGCCAGGCACAAAGAAGTAGTCGAAGTTGTGGAAGGAAGCCCCAGAACCGAGGATCAAGACACCCTGGTCGCGCAAAGGCTGCAGCGCTTCGCCAGCAGCCATGTGCGCTCGAGCATCCTGGCGATAGATGAGACTCTTGTCCAGTCACACTTCCGCTCTGCATTCACTTTGATCTAGCGTGCCTGGTTGCTGTATAGGGACAGGGCAACCAATGGGATATCTGCCTCAACAGCATCACAAGATCGACCTGTCGGCCTTGCTTTACGAAGCACCGTCAAAGAAACCGAGTCAAACCCGTTACACCCAGTGGCGATAGTGTTACGCCGACCTGCTTGGCCAGGGTGCTTTGGGGAACATCAGCATCATGGGCACGAACACTCCATGATCCCAGCCACGTGTGGCGTCAGAGGAGCACTGAATCCCCTTCTTGGCCAGGAGGCCTACAATCTGCCTTGCCAGATCAGGACTCCCTGGAGCGGAATATTGATATTCGTAGCTTTCCTGCCAAGAATCGCGACATCGCAGATCTTTCGAGCTGTGTTTTTCTGCTGGCGGACGGTGCTTTATTCAGCTCCTAGAATTAAAGCCAAAAATGAAGCATGTACACGCCTGACTGCTTGTTAACAAGCTCTTGTCTGGGAACTTTTCAAGACATCAAAAACCTTTGCAAGAACCCCGGGTGAATCCGGGCTGGCTGGATCGAAGGAGCAGATGTCCGAGCCTTTCCCACACAGACCTAATGCTTCAGGGCCTGACCAGCTTTGAGCGTCTGCGCATGAAACAGCAACGGCTGGCTGGAAAGATTAGATTAGACCCTTACAGGGGAGGGGCCTGCGAAGTCATTTCAGCAGCCCTAAACCTCAGGCACACCCTCAACCCAAACGAGAGCCTTCCGGCAAACCCGAAAACGTCTCACGGACTGAGCGCAGACCTTGGGAAAGCCGCCGTAGTCAAAGTACAAGCTATGCCTGCTGGCTGCAGTGACTTTCAGCGCAGAACCGGTCTCCCAGTGCGCTGTCACAACGATGATGGCCGCAGGGGCACTGGGAAGAGAGCGCGGGTAGCCCTGCAAAAACTTCGCAATTCCAGGTTGTTTGCCGAGCAGAGGCAAAGGTCCACCGCCATGGTTGACAAAAACCTCATGCTGGCAGCCAACATGTGTGCAACAGCACGCCACGGAGCCGAACTACATGGGGCTATGTGTGTTTCGTTCTTCTGCAAGGCACGCAAGGCATGCGCCTTCCAGACGACGACTCGAATGCTGTGACGGCTGTCACCTGCTCTTTCTCGCTGCTGGTCCGGCTGTGCATGAGGCCCATGAAGCAAGTCCGGGCGGCCGTGGGTTGCTCTATCCCAAACCTTACCCTTCGAGTCGGCGAAAGGCCAAGCTTTGAGCCGACACTCGGATGATTGGAGAGCTGACTGCAGAGCTCAGGGGAAGAGTGCACAAGTGAAGCTGGACCCACTGCCTCATCCAACTTGGCCAGTGCATGGCGCAAGTCTTGCTCCAAGGCCTTTCGGCGGCAAACTAGGACTCTTGCAACGCTGTGAGCACGGTCAGTAGCGGCTGAACTACCAGAACACTGTGGGCGAATGCCTTTCGCGTCTGCTCTGAAGAGAGGAGCTTTTGCACATCCTGGCAGGTGTCCGGTGACATATATGTTCCATCATCGTTTTGCAAAGGTGAATCATCACAGATGGGGGGGCCATAGAGTCGGCTGCTTCTTCGTGCCAATGTGGTGTGCCACCTCACTGACACAGAAGGCTTCCGCTCAATACACGAGGGTATAGTCCGAGGGGCGTTTTCGCCTCCCCTTGCAGCCCTCTTCCTCGGCGCCTTTCCTTACATCAACTGCAGGGACCAAAGAACTTGGATAAAATGATGCACAGGCTTTCAGCTTCAGCATTTGGTTGGTCTGATACACAAGCGCTCACATGCATGGTGAATGCCAACTCAGCAGATTATCTTGTCAGTTGCCCCTCAGTGCTCAACATTGCATCTCAACCGAACTTCTCCCCGAAGTTGGATTGCCCTCCAAGTAGCAGAGCCAAGGATTTCTGTGGCACCTCTCAGGCCAGAAGATTCTCGCTCACGCAGCAGTCAGCTGGCCAGGCCAAAACCCCACAACCGCCGCTCGCTTAAGTTAGCCATACAGCCGCCTGGCTGGGTGGCTTGAGAAGCTGATCTACACCGTGCCAGCATGACGGCGGCGGGCACTGGAGAAACTCTTACGCTCAATGCCTGCCGTTCGGCGCGGCTCATCTTGCGCAGCTGCTCCTCCATCTTCTTCCTTTGCTGCAAAACTGATTCATCATCCCGCAAAAGACCCGTCATGGCTCCTTATACGAACCCCGACCCTTGTAGTCTCCTTCTCTGTGCCTCTGCAAGGCCCGGGGCTCTTGTCCGACGGAACCCCCTGCGAAAACGATCGCTTCTTGTGGTCAGACGTGCGTCGAGAGGTTTAGGATACGAATTGCAATGTGGAGCAGTGGCTCCGAGCCAACTTCCCTCACGTCGTCCTCTTTGTTTGTAGGTAGCTCTGCCGCCGCCCTTGTACTTTGCAGGCGACTGCCATAGTCTGAAGCTAAAGCAGCATTTACGGGCTATGGGCCATGAGCTAAAACTTGCCATGATATTAAAACTCGGCTGCGTGCATGCACCTGTCCCTGTTCCCTTGATGTCTTTGCAAGGCTCCGCTGCTGCTCGCTGTGAGCTAGTCTCTCTCGCAGCTCCAGTATCGACCTGGCACCATGCAGCACATGAAACAGAGAAATACCCAATGTGCCCTCTGGCCTCGCGTCGTCCTGAGTGTCCGCACTGGGGCAGCTGTTGTGCCTGGACGCTTGGGATGGTTTGACAAGTTCATCCAATCCTGCAGCTGATGCTGCAAGCCACACGCACCACACCAAATTAAAATTACTCCAGCTTGTTCCTGCTCTGGTAATTAACTGACCGTTTCACCCATGCGGCGGTGCGAGAGGAACCTCTTGATTTTGCAATACTATGTGAGGTCAGGTGGGGAAATCATATATGCAACATCGCGACGGCTGCAACTGGGCAAGTTCCCGCTGTGCCAATCGCAAAGCATCAGCGGTATCTTGCGCAGTCTGTGCGAGCTCCACCTGCCGCCTGAAATGCGCGGGCTTCTCGCTAATGCCTTCTGGAGGGCTTTATGAGATACAAGTGCAACTTGGAGGTTAACAGCCAAAAATGCATGACTACTGCCGGAACTTTCGCAATATGTCGTGACGACTCAACCGAACAAGAAAAAAATCGCACCAGCGCGTTCAAGCTCAGCGTCTTCTGCGACATACGCCTCGTCTGGGCCAGCTTCTCCTGTACAAATGATCGGTATACCCTCAAGCAATTTCATGGGTCAGCTGCACATTGCCCCGCTCGTTCCGTAGTCGTTCCTCCAGCAGCTGAACTCGATGACAGAACAGCTGCCAGAAGGGTCCGAACACGTCTTGGATGCGTACCTAGTTCAAGCATGGCATCTCGTAAGCAAACATGCATCACACTAATCCTCGCAGACACTTTCATCGGATCGATCCCCAAGCCTTTTTCTCAATCAGTCTGTGCCTTGCTGGCTGTCTTGGGGATAGACGAAAGTCCGAAGAAGGTATCCCTGTAATCTATTTTGGCAGTTCTTGCTGGTCCTGGTGGCCCTGGTATTTACGCCGGGGCCTTCAGATCCTGGACGGTCCCGGGACGAACTGTAGCTTCGACGAATCCGTAGATCGACGAATCCCCAGATCTCTATTTAGGTGGACTCTTCCCGTAAAGCCTTCTGCAGGCCCGAGGTCTGGAATGACTTGTCACGCGATGGCAGGAAGTGGCTAGGAAGAGAAGCCCAATTGCGTGAGGGTTGTTGTCGATATGGTCTAGGTTGCTCAACTCGTCGTCGTGTCTGTATTGTACCATGCATGTACAAAGGCTTTTGTTTCTGCTCAAGCGCCATTTCTAAACTTTATGCGCCGTAGATGCTCGTGTGTTGGCATATGTTGTGCATGTTGACAACCTCCAGTGACCCTAGAAATGGAGACGCCGGTTTACAAAAACATGTACTTTACGTGAAACTATACGATGCCAAATTGCGAGAGAAACTTCCGACTTCTGCTGTTACAACAGCTAGCAAGGGCAGCAACATCAACAGACTTCAATAGAGAAAGTTTTGCTTAGGAATTTATCGCAAACTTGCTCCAGCTATGTTGCCGAATCTGCTTGCGCCGGACCAAGCAGCAATTGGAGGCAATGCGCCTCGGCTTCTTCGCAGGCCACTCGGCTACTTGCTTCACTCAACCAATGCGCCTGTTAATGCGTCGGGAGGCATTGAACACTTGCGGGTCAAAGGCGGACAGTGAGCGCCTGGCAGAATCAAAACCGCTAATGCTTGCACTTTGCAGCTCTCGGCAGTGTGCCAGCCTAAGCACCGCGGCGCTGACGAAGCCGCTTCCGTCGAGGTCAAAGGTGCGTCGGATATCGATGCCAGCCAGGCGGTCCTGCTCCGAGCGGGCTACCAACAAAAGCTCCTTACCTTCACCGTGGATGAGGAATGTATGTCTTGTGCTGTTCCTTATTTGACGAAAGCCTCATGGAAGCAGTAAGCCTCTCTCCCACTGGGCTTTATGAAAGCCGGCTAATCATGTGCGGCACATCTCCAACTGACACTTGCATCTGAAACCTCGGCTGTTCGCCCCCCAAACCGTCCATGGCTTGGACCAACATCTGCTCTCTGGGAGACAAGCTCCTGGGATGCAAGCGCAAGTACAAACACAGGAACATGGATCTGCCCAAGTGGCCTATGGTCCCTGTTACTCTTTGTCTCTCCAGCTGATATGGCTCGAATGCAATTTCCGAGACAAACACAAATTCTCAAAACAAAATCCGCGCAATGAAGCACGGCGGCTGCGGCTGCGAGCTCGCAGAAGCCGGCAGCGCCCTGGGCGATGTCGGACATCTCTCGCTGGGGTCGCTGTGCTCGCCATCGAGGAGTCTCTCGCCCGCTGCAAGAATCAAAGGGGCACTGCGGTGGCCACCTCAACAGTCGATCCGCTTTCTGACCAGGCCTGCTGACTTGCAAAATGGTCAGGCCAAGCCACGTGTTCCGGCAGACCTCTTGAGCGGTCGCTCGCTCATGCCGAGCGCAGAACGCCATCAGCCAAATCTTGTTGAGGCCGTTCTTGCTTTGGCTGCTATTCTGAAGACCTTTCATCTCACACACTTCTCACCAAATATCATGGCATCAGGTGTGCCAACCAGATGCAGCCACACGACACACGAACTTACACGATCTTAGAGTTGGGTAGACTTGCCGGTGCAACACCAACACTTCATTGTTCTTTGTCGGGCCATGTGTGAAACCTGAAGTACAGTGAGAGATCAAGTAAGCACATGGAGAGCAACAAGTCAACACTTTCCACTACCCAGATGACAAGTCGGAAATTCTTGAAGGACACCTATGCAGATTTTCGCCGGTGGCAGAACCAGGCAGGTCCAAACGTGCCAGTGGGTTATGACGGCTATGCAGCGGTCTCCGCCCAAACTTTGCAGGCAAAGACCGGGCTCTTTGTCCACTCTGTGGGAGCATGGCACGAGCGGCTGACTCGCGCTTCTTGGGAAATCCTCAGAACCGGACAGCCTTTCTCAGCGCTTGTAAACCTTCGCAGGTGTCGCAATCCAAAGCACTTCCGGCCGAGTGGACAAGCGGAAAAAAAGAGAAGGAAGGAAGACATAGTGAGAAAGCGAGGTTGGTGCAGACGCTTCTGAAGCTCTGGCGGTCATTTGCTTTCCTCGCTCGATCGCGAAGCCTGAATGATCAAGCAGGGATTAATGTTATCAGACGTAGAATCGCAACAGAAGACGGACGGCAAGTGGGGACCCAGCTCTTCCATTGCCGGCAGCTTCGTCGCATTTACCCGAACGCTCTCCACCTCGGCATGTGCGGCTCTCTATTCTCCAAAAACAGACAGAATGAGGGAAAACCATTTATCGTCTCACGGATCTCCCTTCGAGCTGGTGACACTTTGCAAGAACGTCTCAACGCGTCCTGCAACCTGAAGGCTCAGTAATCGATACCCCTGGAGTGGCCCACCTACATCCATGCACTATTCCTCGGCTAGCTGGAGAGACGTCTCTGCATCGCAGAAGTTGGCCTCCACCTTCCACATCGGCTGTAAGGACCCCTGCTGCTACGTACTGATCCGGGGCACGTGCTCTTTTGGCTAGCGACGTGATCTTGGCCTCTGCCTTTTCAGGTCTTGCTTGACAATCCCCTGTGACATCACTCTAAAAGAAGGGAGGGGGGGCAAAGACCACGCGATGCGAGGAGGGCCTGGGTCAGCTCTTCAGCCTGCTCCCGCATCCATCGGGTGCCTTCTTCCGCCTTGGCTCTATGCGTGCGGAGATCTGTAATCTGCGGCTCCGAAGCCGGGTACTTGGGAAGCGGCAAGATGGAAGCCCTCTCGGAAAAGCAGCAAGATGGAACTTGAAGGTCGCGGCACATCCACGATTGCCCGCTCGTGGCGACTCGGCATGAAGATGTCAAGGCTGCCACAATTCTTTGTTGCTGCCGCTCTTGTCCAATACATCCTCGCGACTGGCCTTGGCAAAGGCAGGAGAGATCCTGCCACTGTCTGACTGCACCATTCTTGGTTGCAAACCGTCTTGCCCTTGGATATGAGGCGCAGCTCAGACCTAGAAGTGACTTGACGTTAGACTGCTTGGGACAGAATGAAGATAATGAAGGTGAGCCGAGGACACGACGGGGGTATTCCTGGCGGTAGCATCTGCGCGGCAAGATAATCAGCAATGTCACCAAAGGTCACCTGGAAATGAATCTGAACGTGCGCCATGTAGGCGTTGCAAAGATTGTCAATTCTCGCGAGAAGGACTCCTGCCTCGTGCAGCCCTTTGGTCAAACGAATTCGGTAACGGTTTTGCCTCAGAACCGATTCCAAGCCATCCACATGCAACAAGGTGTCAACGGGTAGGAGGCCGAAAGGCTGCTCTGAGATATGAGCCCCTGCCGAACCAGCACCGACCCCGCAATGGCCTTAACACAAAGTGGTCTGGCAGTCAAAAGCAAAAACTTCCCAGCTTCGAAACGGCATCGTTTCTCTTCGCTCATGCATTGTCGAATCTTGCCATGCTGAAGCCTCGTCTGCGACATCTTGCGGGCCTGCAAGCAAGTCCGATTTCTGAATTCGTAGAACAGCACCTCATTATGCCTCCAAGAACTCCTTCGAGAATCACCGGCTCCTGCGAGCCCTGACCATGGAGTTCATGGTGGCGACAGCTTCAATCTGACCGTACGGACCATACGTCCTGCCTCATCCGCTATTTCCGTACCGGCTGCTGCTGCTGCTCCTGCTGCTGCTGCACCTGCTGCCTGCGCTTCTCCCTGCGTACTTTGCGCCTTATTTCTCGCGGCTTCAGGTTTTCTTTTGAACAGGCCGTATCAAATGCACCTTGCAACAGCGGCACCACAGTGCTGAGTTTGCTGCCGGAGGCGGCGGCATTGCATAACCGGGCACGAGCCTGGGTCGTGCGTCTTAGCAACTCCACAACACATGGCGGCCAAGCTGCTGGCATCAGCATCAGCTTGGATTTTGCACCAACACCGGCGGCAGCCAATCTGAAATTTCCAAAATGTTCTGCTTTCACGGCGGATGCTCGACTTCGCACTGGGAGTCCGGCGTCTCTTTGTCATCCTTTCTTTCTTTGCCGTTGCACAACAATCACTGCCTTTCGTCGGATGTCAGACGTCGCCAAAAAAGTCCAGGCTTAACTTTGTACACATGAACACATGGACGGAGGCCATCCTCCCTTCGAAATTGTGCTGCGTCTTCCATATTCCTACTTTGCAAAGGCGAAACGACACGCAACATGTGTAAAACCCCTGCGCAAAATAAACTGCGCTTCCGGCTCATTCCAGCAGACCCTCGCTAACACGATGGAGATGCATTCACTTCCACGTACCAAACCGCCGTAATAATGCATGCCCGGCGAGTGTCTCGTTTTCTTTACATACATAGAGCATCATACGGCAAGAGTACTGTGCTGAAGAGAGTAGCCCTGGCGGACGCACAGAAGCAAGAGAGGACTCTTTTGCCGCCGAATCCAAGATTTCGGTTTCGGGACAAAGGCAGACGAAGGGCCAGAAGGAGCATGCCACCGGTTTATGTGTTCATGCATGCTGGTCCCCAATAGAAGGGTACACAGTATACATATATAGCGCTCCGCAGATGTACAGTCGCACGTTGTCAGGACAGCATCTGCTCCGTAACAGTCACATCCTCCACGTGAATCGGCTCGACGTTAAGTTCTAGTATGTTACAGTCTGTTTTTTATTCTTGCAGAAGCGCCAGAAGTACACAATGCGCTATGGAGCACTTTTGGTACAAACACGACCACATTCTCTTGGCACCCTAAGCCGCGTCCTGTTTCAGGATGCTGCTGGGTGCTCAAACCACTGCAAACCACCTACACCCAGCCCTCTTCCTCTCTAGCTGCGTATCGTGGGGGAGGCATCAACACGCATTGCTGAGGCCCAGGTGATGCTGCAGACCTGGTGATTGCCAGTTTCGGACAGCAGGCCACGGCAGAGAAAGGAAAGTCTGAGCTTTCGTGCAGTTGTATTAGCCGGTTGTCCTGGCTGACGTGCGCAGACCCCAATCAGAAAGAAAGAAACAGTGCATTTCTTGTCGTCTAGCTCGATTCGCCGAGCACTTTCTGCACTTTGAAGCAAACTCTGCCCTCAGGCCGCCAGGAAACCCGCAGGAATGCATCGCCTTGGTTGGATGCTTCAGCTGCAGGAGTTCACATTGGCATTTACTCGCCACAAAGGTGCCCTTTCAGGAAACGACCCCCGAGCTTTCCAGAGCCCTCATTTCAAGCCTCCAAGTAAGTCCAAGTAGAAACAGCTCATCACCCCTGACCACGGCACCGCATTCCTCAAAGCCTGGTCCAGGCAACAGCCTTAGTCAGGTTGGTAGGTCCTGCTAGGTCCACTACATTGCAGCATAGCATCCAGTGAACACAGCCCCGCAGAAATTCAAGAGGAAGCAAGGTGCTTATCTAGCAAAGCTTTGCATTCGCCTCCGATGCCTGCAGGAGGCTTGTGGCTGACAATGTATGCTCCCGGGCGCATCTTCCGCGCCTGTGCCGCCACAGCCTAGGAAGAGGTCAGAGTGGGACATGACGCAACCTGCACTCCTAACTCTCTGCGAGGAATGCCTCCATCATCGCGGGGCTAAAGACCACGGAATTGGCCCAGACCAGGTCCTGCAGAGGCATACTTACTTACCTTGCGCCATCATGCGAGACGAAAAGGAATTCGTCTGCCGTTACCCCGTCGGCCCGTGGTCCGCATCTGAGAAATCGAAATTCAGAAAGCTGTCGAGGAGGAACCGAGGCTGGAGTGGCTGCAAGCCTGGCCCCAGTTTCGTTCCCTGCAGTGGTTCAATACCGGTGCAAGGCTCAGGGCATTTTGCCTTCCCAAGATTTCGCAGAACTAAAGGAACGCCAAAGGCACACGACCTTCAGAAAAGCGCATGGTGGCCTTCCAATGCGGCATCTGCCTGCAAAGGAATCACAGGGCAGGAAGCACTTGCAGTGGAGAAGTTTGCGATGCTAGGTCCTCCGCCTATATCTTCTGCGCAAACTACAGTCTGCCGAACCATCACACTCCAATTCTATGCTGTTAACGTGCCACTGGCCTGAACCCGAAGCATAGCCTTCGCTGCACTGCCTGAACAACACACGGCCAGTTCAAGGCCAGGCAGCGATTGTGCAAAGTGCTGCTTAAAAGCAAAATTTAATGGCAGCCGCTAGCCATGTCCATGAGCCGCGGCAACAGTTTGCCATAATGCTGTGGTTCAACCAAGCCAAGCGTCATGCTCTGTGGTGGCGTCCAGGCTCCAGCTCAACACCAGTTGCTTGGAAACCCAGCACTGCAGCCAGATTTACCTCAGCCCGAGGTAGGGGCGATCATCAGCACCAGAAGCTTGATCTTCGAGCACATGCCCGGTTGAACCCGAACAACTTGCCAACAACACTCGCAGCTTGTGACCGAATCTCGGCCCCAAGCGAGCTTCCCCGTACCACTTCCAAGGTCCTCAGCGAATCTGCATGACTTGCACCCGACATCATCCAGCCATGTAGACACTGGGATACACTTGGTTTGGTTGTCAAGTCACGTAAACACGTGCTGGAGGGAGCAGGTGGTCTTTCAGCAGCTCGGCAAAATCTTGCTCGTTGACCTCGCCTCAGAAAATCCGACAGCATCAACCCCCTGAACTTACAAGCAGTGCCGAAACGAGTCAGCCCAAACCATGCCACACAAGCTCGTCACCCAGATGCTGCTTGCAGCGAGGAGTCTAGTGAGTCTAGTTACCAGCAAATGCAGCCTGCAATCATTGAAAGAAAGCGTTGCAACATCACGGGTCAGCCGGTGCCCTGGTTGGTTGGGCACCTAGTCGGTGCACGTCCAGTGCAAATGGTTTCACAGACATGTGCACTTCTGCTCCCTCCCTCTCCGAGGACGAAAATTCCTCAACTCAAGTGGCACCGATTCTGGCCGTTGCTCAAGTATCCACTTGTTGCGCTAGAACTCCGCTCAGCCAGACAGACAACTCGGGACTCCACTAGTTCATGAACCACTAAGATGTCAACCGAGCCGCCGTACAGGGCGGAGTTCGCAAATCCGTTGGCGTTCTCCACTGCTAAATATCCTCAGACCATGCCACATGCATTGCATCATCTTCTCTTAATCTCTCACACCATCCTGCTGTCTCTCGATTTCTCACACCCTCACTAGTTCAGTCCCGACAACGACCTTGCACTCTCTGCCTTGATGTGATTGGCTTTGCTGTCTACACACTTGAGTCTTTCTTTCCCGAAGCGTATCGGAGCGTAATTCGTGGCCTCGTGCAATTTGCTTATCGCCCCTCGGGCGACCACGCAAGGGACACGAATGGCTGAACCATGTTGAATCTGTTGCCTTCCTTGCTTGCTTCTTTTTCCCACCACGACCCACGCTGTCCCTGTCTTGCAAATGCCGGCTCCACGTTCTCCAAAACAGCCAACAGTCCGAGGCACCTCCCCTCCTCCCTTGTCTTTCTTTCTGTTGGGCTTAGGGGGGACCGTCCAGCGTCCGGGCCACGGGCATGCCCAACCACTCACACTCCAAAAAAAGTTCGTTGCTTGAGGCCCCCACCCTCCCAGTCTGCTGCGTCGTCGCCGAATCCAGTTCCAGCATATGCGCGCGAGAGTAGACGAAGCGGGACCTGCGCTTGGCTTCGACAGCACAAGGTGGACATCGAAACAACTACTACCATGCCGACGTAGCTCAACAACCGGAGTGGCCTGGAGATCACCAGCACATCCACCACATCTAGATGGCGCATCCCAGTAAGGCCTGATCTGACCAACTCGCAAAATCCTGGATTGCAAGAGTGCCGGCAGACAAGCGACTTGTTATCTTCCCCTTCGAAAGCTGCCTGGTCAGGCACCGGGCGGCAGCAAAGGCAGACCCCAAGCTGAATATCCAACATTCCAAGCCTCGTCGGCCATCTGCGGCTCCTGCGTTTCCTGCGGTACCTGTGCGAAGAAGGTGCAGTTGGTGACAGTCGCACGTGGATCAAACGCCAAGGTACACAGAACACGATTGTCTGGGCAAGAGAGCTTTTCAGAGCAGGCGGCCGACTTTGCCGGCTTCCGATGCCTTCGTCATATCCGTAGCTTTGTGTCGTTCAGCTGCTTTTCTTGTCGGTGTGGGAGAGAAAACGATCACAAGCCACAACCCAAAGAATGTAGGTTGCGATGAAAATCGACGCACATGAAGCATACAGTCCTCCCATGCCGTATTCGTTCAAGATGTTGATGCCCATGGCTGGGGTCACAACCCGAGCCGCTGAAAAGATGCAGTGTTCCATGCCTATCAAAGTACCCTTCATGTCCTCCGGCACCAGCTGCGTGTTCTCGGCTGTGATGCTGGTTGCCAAGCTGTACTGAAATATCGACAGAATCAAAGCAATGGCAACGAAACTGCATTGGCGAACGACTGGTTGCATGAGATACGAGATCCCTGCCACATCAGAATTCAAAAAAGCTTGGAAGCAATAAGCGATCGCCATGCCCACGATGCAGTTTCGCACCACGAAGCGTGGCGCACCCCCGAGCAGCTTAGTGACCGGACCAAGCAGCACTGCATTTGAAAAGGCACCGAAAGCAAACTGCGCCGACATAAAGAAGCCCAAATCAGCCTCAGCAAACTTCAGTTCGTTCTTCAACACCAAGCTTTGAGTGGCAGAAGCCATGGAGTTTGAGGTTGAAGTGATGAGCTTCACCATGCTCAAGAAGCCAGCTGCCTTGAGAACAATGCAGATCCGTGCGACCCAGGGTAGCTGCTCGGACTCCTTTTTTTTCGCATCCCCATCTTCTTCGCTCTTGTCTGCTGTCCTTTTGGCACTGCTGGGTAGCAAAACGCTCCCTGCTGCTGCAAGGATGCAGCCGAGCGTGGCAAGTTTCGCACTCAGGAAGTAATCGCCCTTTGCACCCAGAAGTCCTCCACAGTATGGCCCGACGATGCCACCAAG